TAAATATTGTATTTAATAAACATTGTCTACCCAGACTCAGATCATTTGGTGTAAATCCTTAGAAAGAACCTCTCCTCTCCACTCTACTGTAGATGCCCCGTCCCTATGTGTATACATGTAAACCAGCGGGGGGCCATCCGACTTTGACTTCAGTGAATAGAGGTCGGAACAAGCGGATAGGCAGCAGACACACAAACAAACGCACATAAAAGACCCATTTAGATAAAACACCAGGAAACACATGGCACTGTGGACTTTGCTACAAGAAAATGTCGAAGAATGGACCCGCGACGGAGATGACTCCCTGGGGCAGGATGGGTGTGTGTATGTGTGGGTGGATTAGGACACTATTACATGGAGGGCTGTCTCTGTCTAGTTTACCCAGCTGGAGCACCCCAAGCCCCCCAGACGGAGAATTGATGTCACCCGATGTACCCTTCCAAACTCCCCTATTTCCTGTCCGCTTTGGTGTGATGTCACTGGCCGTCCCGGGATGTCACGTCCGCCCCCTCTCCTCACCTCGGCTGCTGTGTCTTCTCTCGCACTGTCCCCTCTCTCAACTCTGTTTCAATCGCTCGGGGTCCCATTGTGATTTGGGAACAGTCAACGGGGCACGTACCAAAACAAAAGACCACCCAATAGACACACATACTCACACACGCTCATACACACAAACTAGTGCGTGTCATGTTTTAGGTTATGCAATATTGCTCCAGATGAGTTAAATGTATCAGATTAGCAGGGAGACTTAAAGATTTAAAAAGGTGTAACTTGAACCAGAATCATCTGAGTAGATCCGGTGACCTCAGTCTCTGAGCCAATGTACAGCTAAGAACACAAATCATCTGCATATGGTTTGAAAATAACAGGTGTACGGAAAGGAACTTTGCAGAAATTTTCCCTGAAAAAAAAAGGCCCTTAAAACTCCCTTGTAAACCAGACATGTTCATAAGTTGCATTCTGTATCAATAGTGGGAGGAACTAAGTGACAGATTTATAGACCAAACTCACTATAAAGAGACCCAGAGTGTGTTTAATGGCCAAATAATGTAATGTAATGAGACTCCGTTACACACAGAGGAGGAGATCATCTGTCAGATTGGTAACCATTTTACCTCATAAATGAAACTATTTTGATTAGAGTTGACATGCGTTCAAAAGTTAGACAAATGCAAAGACACATTTTTAACAACAGAGCAAGAAGATGAACATGTATTGAATTATAACTATTGAGTAACAAGTCGTTGTGTCCTTGGGCAAGACACCTAACCCCACTTTGCCTGAAGCCCCCACTGAAAGATCTCAGCTCCTGTGGACTCACCACCTGCAGGAGGATCAGTGAGGGGCTGGTGCTCTGTGACTGGGTGCAGCTCTGACTGCCACCCCCCCGACCCAGAAATGGATTAAGGGGAAGAGGATGGATGGATGGATGGAGTAACAAGTGTATTTCATTTGTGTTAATTGTCACCAAGAAAGGCTGACACAGTCCAATAAGACTTTTTTTTATAATGTGAAGGTCAATTATTTATATGGAGGTACTTGGGAGGCCAACGATTTATGAATGTGGTACTTTGTGGAAAAAAGAGAAACAGTATGTTTAATTGCAAAGGCAGATTCAAGTTACTTGTAAACAAATAATCCTTTTCAATCTTCTAAAATCGCCACTCTGTGCACGTTCAGGAACTGTTATTGTTTAACCTACCTTCTTTTGTCATGTTGTGTATGATTTCATGACTATATAGAAGTGTAGGAGTAAAACAAATCAATCCGAGAATGAAAACAAGCAAATAAAAAGGTTGAAGAGCTTCTATTTTGGGCTCTAGACCAGGGAAGGTGCTATAGACCCATCTCACTAAGGTAAAATCAGCAGTGGCCCAGAATGGAAATCTTCTTCCAAGCAACATACAAATGGAAGTTGGCAGTTGAAAGAGGTGGATTTGATTAAAAAGTGGAATATATCTGTATTTCTTTATGTCTCACATGCCTATAGAAACTTTATAGTGAAGTTGGCCTGGGGGAATTTTAACCCAGATGCACAAGTGGCTCAAAAATGACCTGGTGAGGTCGTTTTCTTGAAATATCTTTGTAATGAAATTCTTTTATCATTTCATATTCCAGGAATTCCTCAAAAAACATGTTTTTGATATAATGCCATTTACATATTTAACTTACTTTTTATATATTTTAAGAAATCTTAGTTTTTGTATTGCTACCCCAAGCTCCCAAAAGTTGGTCAAGAATGACCCGCATCCATTCTCTATGGAATCCATGGGAATCTTTGATTCTTCTCAACTATAAATAAACTGTGGATTACACAAACTGTGGATTACACATACCAGAAGTGTCACTCCTCAGGAAGATTATTTTACACAGCAAGAGCTAATACTTTTACAAGGCTTGCTTCAATTACATGCCAATGAAGCCCGTCAAGTACAGACGGGATGTTCTAGGTTTGTGATGCATGCTTCCCCTATGCAATATGGAAAATGTGAAAAAACGCATTTGTGCATTTGTTCGCCGTCACCAGCCCCATTCATTTGATGAGTGCATTCTGAAGTCCACAGCGGCTAAACTAGACTGGTCCAAAATATTCACTCCCCTCAGCATTGTCAGCATCAGGAACGTAGCTTTGGACCAAGAGCTGACTTTTGGACCATCTTGTAAACGTTTTTGAGAGGAATGAAGACGCCATACAAAAGCATTGAATAATTTTTTTTCTGGATACATCCCCACCGGACCGGGGTAGGATTGCAAGTATGTCAGCGCATGAGCTTATGGATGTTTTTGAGCTGGGACCCGCCCACACTGGTTGGCACCTACACCTGCAAGCGCCAAACACAGAGGTGGCGCATAGTGCTGTGGTACAACATGATTGACATTGCCACCCTAAATCACATAAAAACACGCACACACACACAGACACACACACACACACACATACACACAAGCACACACACAGAGACACACCTACACATACTGTACACACAAGCACACACACAGAGACACACATACACACACCTACACATACATGCACGCACACACACAGAGACACACATACACACACCTACACATACTGTACACGCACGCACACACACAGAGACAAAATGGATGTTCACATTTTTCTACTGTTGTTCTTGGTAATTTTCTTTTTCAAAAATGTTAAAAAGCGAAAGATTTCAAATATGAAATCATTCTTGTGTGGTTCCAAATATAAAACTAAATTTTATACAAGTGTTTATCCTTAATTGAAAACACAAAAATGCCATAAAAAACGCATCGATTCTAAAACGGGTCATTTTTGACCCACTTGTGGAAGAGTGTAGGCTCTAGTCACTCGTGCATCTTAAGCCTAGCGTCCATCGGACTGGCAACTGATTATATCCGTCGCATATGAGTTGCTGCCCCGCACAATCTGACGAAAACGGGCAACTCCCAGTAGCAGAACAGTCTCGGGAATAACAGCGCGTACATCGACAGCAACTGGCCTCAACTACAGTGTGTTTTCTGACATAAATGTTGCGGGCTTACAATACACGCAATACACACACGTTGTCGGAGCGGCGCATGGAGCGCGCACATCGGGTCATATCTCCGAAACTGAGGACAACTAGTTGCCAAAAAGTAGAACACGGGCAACTGACTGAAACTGGAGATCGACTGATCATCTCCAGTTGTAAGAGCGCGCACATCGACCGATTTCGGCAACTGATCATCTCCCACCATCTACTCTCAGTTGCCAAAAGCCGCCTTGCAACTAGTTGTCCCCAGTTTCTCTGTCGATGTACGCTAGGCTTAAGGGTTAGGAATAAGCTGATAATGTCCGTAGAATATGTATTCCTATAATGGGAAAATGTGCGTATAAATAATATTAAGATTCTGTGCTGTTCTTTGTGCAGGATCCACACTTCTCACTTTCCGTCTTGGACTGCACCTGAAGCAGGAGAAGGTTTGTTTGTGGAGAAATATGTGAGCATGGTCATGGTTGTTGGATCAGGCACACAGATGCTCTCGGCTTTATAGATAGATACCACAGGGAAACACTTGGGAGATGATTCTTTTAGTAAATGTTATCACATAGAGACTACAGATCTATCTCTTCCTACATGCGGCGCCCGCTTTTGGTGGGGCTGCACCTCGCTGTGCCTGTGGCCAGTGTCCTCAAACAAACACACTTGTACACAGAGCTCCTATTCTCACACTGTCGCCCACGCGCAGCACAAACAGCCACTAAAGGATTGGATATCAGGGGCGCTCACAGATACACACGAGTGGGATGCACTGGGCCTTGAACAAACACACACATCCTTTCACTTTTTTTTCCAATTAAAAGGAAATGCGTACACAAACTCAGAACAGCAGCTCCAGTACACACACTTGTGGATTACAGGATACACTATTCAGAGGGAGTTATGCCATAATAAATCATGATCAATGATCAGATATCAGTACCAGTAATGGACTGATTTTAAAATATAAAAGCTGGGAAAGCATCACACTTTATTATGAAGTTTGTTGTGATCAAAAAGTTTGGATATTAAAATATATTTATTTTATTTTATGTTGCAGTCAGAGCTGCACCCATTTCACATAGCACCAGCCCCTCACTGGTTCTCAAGCAGGTGGTGAGTCCACAAGAGACCTGATCTTTCAGAGGGGGCTTCAGGCAAAGTCGGGTTAAGTGTCTTTCCCAAGGACACAAAAAACCACAGACATCAGTGTAAGTCTATTAACCAAATTATATGAAATTCAACCAAATATAATCTATTTAAAACTTGTTGAACATCCCCTAATAACAAGCTGACTCTGAGCGTGTCTGAGGGGATAACTCCGGACGTGACGTTAAAATCTATTTTTAGAACTGCGCTGCAATGCTATTGAACAGACCTACTCTCTATAACAAGAGGAGAAAGGTCCAGTTAGAGTAAGAATTTGAGAGCATTTATCTCCATCATTGCATTAGTGTCATACATATATCCTAAAATGATCCAGCTCAACTCTACCTGATTGTGTTCTTGTTTTCTCTGGCGGCCCGCTGCTTCCGTTCCCAGGCTGGGAGGTGGGCTTTGGGCTTGAGTGGAGCATACTTTCCACCACGAGGCCGGGCCAGCGCCAGCCGCAACTCCTCATGTCCGCGGACCGACAGGAAGCACTCCAAGCCCCTCAGCTGCCCACCACAGTGACATTGGGCCAGCTCTGCTCTCACCCAGGACCGCAGCAAAATACAAAACAGGGAGAGGAGTGTGAACATTTTTGCTAAGATTCACAGCTATCCAAATCTTTATTCTGGCACCAGAGCAACATTAAGGCAAAGCTTTCGCACCTCTGAAGTTGTTGAAGGAGTATTTGGAGCTCTGGCATTTGACCTCTTTAATCTGAGCTCTCTACTTACAGCGAAGAAGAAACAGACGGCCTTAGAAGCTGTTCTTGTAGAATAGAACAATAAAATCTTTTCACATTTAATTTTTATACATAGACTATATAATATTTGGCTGTCATAAGACTGTGACTTAGCATGAAGTGGTGATTTACTGGATGGGACCTTGATCTTAAGTCAAGAATTATAATCCTCTCATGGCCAGACTGAAAAGTAACCAAACAAACAAAATGGTTTTCACACTGGCAAACCATCTAAGAGAAAGTGCAGCTGATTGAAGGCTTTGTCTGTTATCCTTCTCAAAGCTAATGCTGCTGGGTGTGAGTGGCCTGATCCTGATTGAATTACATTGTAAACTCATGTGCTGGGCATCCGGACAGAGGACAGTCTTTCTGTGTACCCTCCACTCTGAGCAGGAAGCTGCCAGGCTTTTTCAGATTAGGTCTTTTCCTCTTTTTCAACTTGGACTCTTAGTGACCTCCTGTCCCATAACCTTCCTCCCACAAGGTATGGCATAGACACCGTGGACTGAAGAGTGTGCCAGCTGGCCATGGACACACAAACACACCACTAAATCATCTCTCTCTTTTAATGACATTGAGTTCAACTGAAAAACAACATGGCCTTTCTTGGCACAGGGGAGGAATGCTGAAGCGTTCAGCAGACACAACACAGTCACAAATTCATATGTCAATACTTTGTCCATATACAGCTTTGCTCCTGTACCGCGCACCTTTCCCTCCTTCAGACAAATTGAAGCAGTAATTTTTTTCTTCTTGCTGACTTTTACGAGGCGTAATGTGAAGCACCTGTAGCCGTATAGAGGCCAGACTACAGGCTGTAGAACCACCCCAAAAGCACAGACAGGTACATGCAGTTCATGAGGAGAGTGTGATGCTGGCTGGTATAATGCTTCAGTCTACAAGGAAGTAGTTAAGCCTGACTTGGGACACTTTCCTAGACAACTTTATTGTTAACTGGCAAAATCTTAGCGTAGAACATTCTCAAAGTTCTCAAATTCAAGCAAACATAGATTTACAACATGGAAAAAACAAACTTGTCCCCTGGCACTTTTGAAGAGGTGAGTTATCTAACTCACAAACTCACTACTCAAGCTCATAGCCAACAAAGAGAACTGAGACCTTCTTCTACATTAAAGTATTTCATTGGGGCCACATGTGGCACAGAGCCAGTCATCCACAGGATGAAGACAGAGGTCATTAGTAGAAGCACAGGGCTGGTCTTCTGCTCTTTCATCAGCTGCTTTCTATTACCTGAAGCATGGGCCAACACAGCACTCTGGCCACGCTTTAGACGGATACAAACTGATGCTATTGATGACCTTTTGCACTGGAGCTCTCAGGGGCTGGTGAGTCTTAACGTGCTTAACAAGCTACAGTTATGACACCGCCACAGTCTTGTGGTCCCCTAGCCTAAGATTTACAATAATCTCTGCAATAAAATAATGGGACATTAGAATTTCTTAGTCAACCGTGTCGAGGGATTATGTGTGTGGCTTTGATACCTCGTCTCTTTAATTGTGCGCAAGCCTCAAACCAATGAGGACCTCTGTCAAAGCAGTCTGTCTTTTTTAAGTTAAATAATTAAAAACAGAAAATAATTCTGATGGCCTCTTGTGCTATTCATCAGGTGGTGCCCTGTCTCGTAATGGAAATTCCGTTAAAGTTATATTCTTGGCTATGACATAATAAGACCAAAATTGTATTTTAATGGAACCACAGTGGAGAATTAACCCACAGAGAAAATCTATTTCTGTACTCAAACACAATCACACATGCCAGGATGAGAGAGAGCTTGAAAAGTTACTCCAAATGTTAAAATGCATGCATCATGATAAAATAAGTTACTAAACATTGGAAAGAACAACTGTTATAGTTCATACTTTTTACAACAATCATAAAAGATATTTTTTTCTGAAATATGAAGTTATTGTGGAGATCTATGACTGGATCGTTTTCCTTCACACCTGGTGAAGCCGTGTTGTGTGGTTTCTGTGGGCTACCGTCATATGAATCCTGGGTTTTTAATGGTGTTAATCAAAGACTTATTTTGATCCAAGTCCAGCGCTCTGCAGTGAACGTGTTCAGTCAGCGAGCTCACAGCTGGAAGGCAAAGCAGCACATTGAAATGGAAATGAAGGATTCATCAGTCTCTAATTTCTCACTGAACTTCACACAATGGTAATTCCCCAGTTCATTTATATGTGAATACATTAAGAATAGGGATTGTGTCTTCGACGTTTGAACGCATTCTTGAAACAATGTTGGAAGTGAAAAGTTGATGCTAAAGCTGATCCTGAAGCTGCAAACTGTGTTGGAATACAACATACTTTGTGTAGTAATAACACAATTTATTCTTTTCACAAATAAAAAATACAACATGCTGTTGTCCTCTTATCAGAAAACATTGAATATCTAGATTTGACAGAGACAAAAAGCATATGAAAACTGTGCACCGGGATTTAATCCATAGCTCTTTTTGTGGTTAGAAACCACAAAACCTTATATAAATATTTACGTAATAGTAGACTGAAAGAAAGAAATATCAGAAGAATATCAACTCAATAATTTTCTGTCATAAGATATTTATGCTCGCATCTTTCCATTTGGGCAATAAGCAGGGGTCCATCTTTTCTGTGGAGAGTCCTACATCCTTATTGAATTAGCAGTTGGTTGTCCCGGCATTCCCTTTCACTCCCCTTCACCGCTGAGTGCCTTTTGATCAGCTCCACTGGCGGCCTGACAGTTATGCCCACCCATGTAGCCGCCTGGGTGTACATCCATGTGTGGGTGTGCCAGCCAGCGGGCCGGGACGGGCTCAAAATATCTTGGCTGAGTACGTTTCCTCGGACTTTGGAGCATTTATGAGTGAGAGCTGAGCAAAGACAGACAAACTGAATAAATGACTGAGCATGAAGTCCACTCCCATTATGGACAGGTATGTGAGTGTAATCAGGGGCAAACATAATGATCAGATAAAGTAATAAAGGATTTCAAACATATAGTTATATTCTCTTCAAGATGACTCCTTTAAAGGTACATTCTTCAACTGTCCTGGTGGCGGGACATTGGACATATCACTCCCTATAGACCAATGACTCCTATGTGTTTGTTACAGTAGTATTGAATTTCATGTGTTTCCAACTGTTTGATTCTCTGATTTGTGTTGGTGAACCGAACAGTTTGTAAAGTCCGAGACGACTACTTTTGTGATGTCGGGTTATACAAAAATACATTGAATTGAGTTCATCTAAATGTTTGACCAGGACGTGTATGAAGTTTTTCGAAAACTGTACATTACAAGTGGAGAGGACAGTCTTCTCACTGTAAAAACAATAAATATCACAAATAAAAGGATTCAAATCAACCAAAATGAGCAGTAATTTCTTGGTGACACACGTTTTTTTTAAAAGACATTACCTTTTTTATGACTGTGCTTTGGGCTATTTTCTTCGTTTTGGTGCATTTACTTTTATCTCTCATTATCAGGGAGGCCCATTTGAGTCCAACTCAAGCATTTAGAGATTTACCACAAGGGACTGGCATTAATCAAGTCATTAAAGGCTTAGATAAGACGATGCACTCTCCTCTTGTGGTGGTTTACTGAGCCCTGTCAGCCCAAACACACTTACACTTACGCAAATAGGAGAGCACCATGACCAGCAGGACAGAAGGCACAGCTGATGCCAAGACACAGCTGAAAACAGACTTGAATAGGAGCTAAAATGGAAAATTAAACTCATCGAGAAGTTTTATGTCCTTTTCAAAATGCCCCAAAGCAATAGGTGAAAGCACAGTTTTTATATCTGACATGTCAAAAAAAAATATTTGAGAGATTATGATGATTTATTGAGAAAGGAAGAGAAGAAAAGATTTAGCGAGGGGAGGGGGTGATGGCAGGGGGGCTTGAACATGATGCAAACCATTTGGAGAGCTGAGCGGAGGTTGCCAGCACAGCCTGCTCTGTTTAGAGTGCAGAGGAAGTGACCGTATATACAGCATGCCAGCAACCTCCCGTTCATCCACCGTCTATCTGCGGACACACACACACAGGCCCAGCACACACACACACACACACACACAAGAAAAAGATACAAAGCACTGTGTAAAAGTGTAGTTAAGACAGCTTTTTTGGGTAATTAGTGTAGTTTTTTCAACATTATAATACATTCCTGGTAGCTTGAGTTAGTTTGTTGATTACGATTAAGAGCAGGACCTTTATCCCCACCGTTGTCAGACTGTACAAGAAAGTCACTTTAAGTCACTAATGCACTAGGACTGAAACAAACCTGCACTGCTATTTCCACTCTTTCTTTTATTGCCATTTTCTTACTGTACATAATTTTATCCTGCACAGACTACACTGTAAAAAAGAAAAAGTTAGTTCAGCTCAAAATTTCAAAGCAACCAGCTGCGAAGGATTTTTGAGTTGAAGGCATTAACTTAATTCATCACGTTTTGAAGAACTACACTTTTTAAGTTGTGTCAGCTAAGTTTTCCAAGTTCTACCAACTAAGTTTTTTAATTCAAGTTACTGGAAATGTCAAGTCTGTAAAAACTTACTTTTTTAAGTTCAGATTACTGTCCCCTACAATAATTTACCATTTTGAGTTTAAATTATCCCCCACATTAAACCATCATGATGTTTATTTATATAGCTCATTTTACAGACCAAGGTCACCTGGGCAGGGGAAACCAGAGCACCTGGAGGAAACCTATGCAGACACAGAGAACATGCAAATTCCACTGAGAAATGCCCTGTTCCGATGGGATTCGAACACAGGACCTTCTTGTCAAGAAGCGAGAGTGCTATCCACTCAGCCACCGTGCCGCACTCACTGGGAACCCGACTAGTGGGGAAAACTAATGTTTCTAAGACTGACCCAGGGAATACATAGGGCTACTTTGGCTTGGCCCTGTCGATTACGGTTGGTAGAAATAAATACAATGATTTTTTTGGTCAAATTAGTTTTTTCAAAATGTTGAATGCAGCTGGTTGCCATGACAAATATTTAAATGAGCAAACACAGATAAGTTGACCTCACTCTAGCTCGGTGAACTGTAAAGACGACAACTCAAAATTGTTCACCTTACTCAGATTTTTGCATTCACTGACAATAAAATTGCCAGTTGGAACTGGGACTGTCTGTTCTGAGCCACTTGAACTCACTTTCAGAAGTTCACTACAACCTCAAAGTAAAATCAACTTAATGTATCAAATAAGATACACTTTTCATCAGTAACTTCTGAAAGTGAGTTCAAGTGGTTCACAACAGACAGTTGCAGTTCCAACTGGCAATTTTATTGTCAGTGAATTCAAAAATCTTAGTAAGGTGAACAATTTTGAGTTGTATTTTTTTCAGTGTATATTTTGAACCATTAACATTTCTGTCTTTTGCGCGATCTGAGTGATTCTGTCTATGCCAAACTTGACATCAATAAAGTCAATCTTAAATTATCTTGGAATTTCAGTGTTGGAATTCCCAGTGTTGAAGTAGGAATGAGGAGCACACAACAAGAGTTAACAAAAATAGCATAATAAACAAGCATAAAAGTATAAAATCTCTAGCTTTAGCACGCACAAACAACTTGCTTCATTTGTGTATCTCGTTCTTTGCTCTATATCCGTTTAGTTTTATCACTAGTTTTCAAATGCATTTATTTTGGCCTGTGTTACATCTTTAGATAAGCTGTTTTTTTTTACCCAGACAGATAAGTGAAAAAGAGAAGACCAGCCAATCAGATCTCAGCCCAAAGTGTCAAATAGTGACTCACAGGGTTGCCCTTTAAAGTATGTAAAATATGTTTTCTTATCAGATGAAGGCGCCATGACGTAGCTGTAGTTTTTTACTTTTACAAAACTTGTCTTGGGACGCACACAATTACATTAGAAAATATATATATACATATACGCCAACTTTAAGTCAAATATCCTGATTTGTTGAACTTCAAGATTATCAGTGCCTTTTTCGTTAATTACACAGTTGCCTACGTGTGTCCAGATCTGAGTTTATTTGCCTTTTTTGCCCATGAAACAAACCATTCTGCCTTATATCGCAGAGTAAATCACAAAAAAACATATCACTGATTATACTATAATTGCAGTTAATACAATCCGCAGGCTCTGTGTAGGAACAGTCTTAGAATTACAGAAAGAGAAGTGAGACAAAAAAAAAGGGGAAAAGAGGTCAAGATGTTCCTTCAACACAGACTCATGACTTAATCTGATTGTGCTCTTCAGAGACCAGCCCAGGAATGAAGATTTGTTGGGACAGACGCATCAGAGTCTGAGGTGAAGAGTGGTGAAAAGGTGGAGGAAGTGGCGTGATCTCAAATCTGTGGAGGTGAACGCTTTGACACATTGACAACATGACAAATGTGTGTGTGATTTAGATGATGTCATGCTCTTGAATGGGTTGTTAAATTTCACAGAATTGGAACACTTGGGCTCATATATTTTATAAAGTTCAATGGAGCACAACAAAGCCTAGTTCTATCCTTCTACTTATTTGAGTATTTAAAACATGTGTGGGTCATTATTTTACAGTTTCCTAATAACATTCTACTGATTTGGAATTCTGTTGAAAATGACAGTGGGGCGGTTGTGGGTTCGAGCCCACAGCGAGACCTTCTCCACCGACTCCATTGATGTCTGCTGTCATTGTGTCCTTGGGTAAGACACGTAACCCACTTTGCCTATAAGGAGTGTGGAAATAATGTTTACTGCATGCCTTGATGTGTACATGTGTATTTATCAAACTGAAATGTCCCGACTGTGGGACGAATAAATGTTCTTCTCCCTCTTCTTCTTCTTAAGCACTGCACTTAATTAGTAGTTTTTCCTGGAATCTGTTCTTTACTTTGCATGTTTACTATACTTTGAAACCCCAAGATCTGTACTTTCTACTCCGTACATTATTTACTTTGCAATGAAAATACAATATAAAAAGGAAAAAGTTTAGATTTGAACTCAGTGATATTACTTCAGTACCTAAACTTGTACAGTACTTTTGCCACCAGCATGCATATTTTCTTTATATCCTCTCCTTCACTGTGCCACCCCATGTCTCTCATCACCATTGTACTCTTGAACAAAATCTCTCAAAGACTGTCTCACCCAATCATCATAGAGCGTCATTCTGCAATCGATAGACATGTTTTAATTGCATTCTATTGTTGTGGCATATGAAACTTACACCGAGTTAAAAAACAAAATCTTGTGGTTCAAATATATCGGTAGAAAAGCAGTTTGGATTGAAAGTCATGAATTAGGTATGTGGTGAACATGTTTTCAGTCCACAGCACAAGGAATGGCAAGTTTATTTGTATAGCACAGTTCATACAGTACACGAGGCAACTCAAAGTGCTTAGCAAAACAAGATCAAAACAATCACACACAAGGCATTCAAATCATAAACAATCACAGTACATCAACAAGAGAGTGGAAAGAATCATTGAGTTGTATAAAACAGCTGTATACAGAACTGTTTTTTTGACCTGGATTTGACCATTGTCAGAGTAGCGGGCTGTCTCACATTTTCAGAAAGACTGTTCCTGACTTTAGCTGCATAAATATGAAATGTTGCCTCCCATTATGTTTTCATACAAGTTGTTTAGGCAGAAATCACAAGATCAACTGGCTAATAGTTCTTGTTGTGTTACTACTGTAGCACTAATACAATCACTGGCTGCTGTCTTGAAGCGACAGAGAGAGTAATGATATAAAACATGTTAATATTTTGAATGGAGTGAGTACATTACCCTATTTGTTCCACAGTATACGCCACAGAGTTCATCCAAATCTGTTCTGCTATAGTAAAAATGCAGTGGTAATTACAATACATTTGGTACAACATTGGTGAGGACCCAAATTAAACTTTGTCAGTTGAATGTGTCAATAATAACAATAATTATGACAGACTTAACATGTAACGCATACTCATATGAAAGCTGTTTGCTGCATTGAGATCATCATCAACAGCAGTCACGTTACCTAGCTACCATTATGTTGACAGCTGAGTGAAAGTCAGTGACCCTGCACACATGGTTTTGTACTGGCATGTGGAAATATAACATCAAATGGTTGTGTGATTAATGTGAAAAATGGCTTTCTGCTACTATTGCTTTCATGTTGAGTGGAAGCGATGGCACGAGTACAACCCTGGTCTAAATGCCGTAAAAATGAAAAGAAGATTTCCCTTTGGACACTGGTTCCGTGCAAAATACATTACATTTAAGTTGTAATAACATAAATTATCCTTAGAGAGAAAATGACGGATTCCCTTGTCCAAAATTTGCCATAGTTACTCAAATAATTTCCAATCAAAGTGAGACCAGCGCTAAAAGCCTCTGGACTCGTGTTTTTTAGTTTTTTCAGCGCAGGCCACCTATTTTGTGGTGTGTGTGATTGAGCAGTCTAGACCTCAGTTCACTGGAGCGCGATGGGTGGTGATGTCATGCTACAAAATCACTGCAGACCTAATTGGTTTATGGTCACCTCTAAATGGACTCCCAGCAGATTTGACAGAAAGGCTAACGTGAGTGGAAAGGTTATTTGGTAGTTCAGTGGCTGGAAAAGGAAACATGAATTGCAGTTATAAAACGATTAAAGTATAACCATTAAAAAAACAACAGAAGCTTGGGACAGATTCTCCCAAATGGACTCAGAACAGGTCACAGTCGCTATGTCTAAGTGTGAAAGTGCTGATGATTACTTTCTTCAAAAACATAAGTGCACTTGATCATTGCCAAATTTTATAACAATAGATAAAGGAGAAATGTTGAGCTTTGTCTTCTATATAATTGACACCAGTGGATCCACAATGAAAATAATCAAAACAACTGAATTAGTGCCAAAATACATAATGAAGGCTGCCAAACCATATAAGTCTAAATAAAAACATAAATAAAGGAAAGAATTGAGAAACTATGTCAGGTAGGTGTGTATGAAGGACAGGGAACACAGATGACTGGCTCTGACTCTGCTGTTGCCAAGAGTGCAGAGAACTAAAGTTGGGGAGGCAGCATTTCAGATTCATGCTGCTAGAATCTGGAACAGTCTTCCTGAAAATGCGAGAAAAGCTTCTTCTCTGACAGTGTTAAAATCCAGGGTAAAAACAGTTCTGTTTAGCTGTACAAATAACTGAGGGATTGTAACTTCACTCTTTTTAATGTACGATGATTATTTAGGATTTTAATGCCCTGCATGTGTGACTGTCTATCTATATGCACTTTGAGTTACCTTGTGTATGAACTGTGCTATACAAATAAACCTGCCTTGCCATGACTGTTGGATTAATGAAGCTTCAATGGAAGAAAATATAAATGATGTAAATATGCGCGAACCAATGAGAAAACTACCTACATGGGATGAAACCAAACATGGTTTAAAGCTCTCCGAATTCATGCCTCCTTTTAGAAAATACAGTTGGAGAACCCTGACTTTGAAGTATAAAAGCGAATACTGTGAGTAATTGACCACATATATTAAAACATTTGAAATGGCGATTCTAATCAAAGTGCGCCCTTGGTGTGACTTTGTAAACTCTCATGCGAATGTGAAATGTGTTGCTGGTGGCTCTGCTTCAGGATTGTGTCGAGACTGTCTGTAATAAATGTGCCCAGGAAAAAAGAGTCTGGAGAGATATATCACAGGAGGGAGAGGAAGAGGACGAGGAGGGGGCCATGTGCTGGGAACACAGGGAAGATGCAGAAGGAGAAGGATCGATTGGTGAGGAGAGAGGAGGGCTGCTTTCTCCTGGGTCCTGCTATGTTTCCCATTATGTAAGCCCTGGTCACCGGCAGCATGCCAGCAGGCAAAATAAAAGAGTCTCTCTGGCTTGGCACAGCCCGTATTTTCCTATCCTCGGTGCGGGGTCAGGGAGGGGTCAGGCAGCTGGATGGGGCGCTGGGGGGATTGTGGGGTCTGGGCTGGCCTCCAAAACCCAAAAGGCCCAGGGTTCAAGTACCAGCTGAAAGCAATCAGCAAAATCTGGGAGTGCCACAGCTGCTTCACTGCGCTATTCTGCAGATCTGTATTCTGCATCTTATGGGTCGCTCAGGACCATTTTATGTTCTAAAAAGCCTCCTCCTTCAGCACAAAAGCTAAATTGATATATTTGCCAGTGTGGGTGGATGTACGGGTAAAGTGAGTGAATAATCAAGAGGAGTGAAGAAAGGCCAAATGCTGGTGGTACACTGCTGAGTCAGGCTGGATGTGAGTCAGACCGCAGAAGCAAACCTTGTGGTAAAAATGCATATCGGTATTGCTGTATTTGCATGAAATTATTTTGAATCAATCAGCACTGAATATGTTTGTGCTGTCAGTATGCCATGACATGCCAGCTTTAGTCATGATGTCAGATAGTGCCACAGAGGAAACCAGGCAAAGACCAGCGCTCAATTGAATGCAGATGGTCTGTGTTTTGCTGCTCTGGTTTCAGGTCTAATCCCTCTCTTGGAGGGCATGATAATGCCAACAAATACAATACCACTCAGACTGATTACTTCCATCCTCTGGAAACTTTCTCACAAACTTTGGGGGTTGTATTGGAAATGAATTTACTGAACTTGAGAGGCCACAAAACTCAATAATTATGTTAATAATAATGTGTTCAACAGGTTTTCGATCAGAACATACAGTGAACATCTTGTACTATAATTAGTATAAAAGTGGAAATATTCTACAAAACATCAAAAGAACTGAAGATGTTTTGGTTATCTGGAGCTGCAGTCTTCGGCAATCACCAAAAGAAGGATTTTAATATTCTGTACTCCACAGGAAGGAATAGAGTGACTTTAATCAACTTTATCAGTGATTTAGGACATGCTGCATGCAAGGAACTACACTACAAGCTTTAAAGTGAGTAATGTGTGGATCAGTTTCCAATTTGAATTTGTGGCAGGATAATATTTCTGATTTTAGCTATGTTACGCAAATGGAAATGGGCAGTCGCTTTCTGACATGGCTGTCTTTCTCTTATGATCACAGTGAAAGACAGCCAAGAAATAAGTAACAAGAACAACACAATAAATACAATACAAACAGAAAACTGTTAAAACCACTGCTCTGCCTGCTTTCACCCTGATCTAAATGCACTCCCATATAACTTCTTTGGGGTCTGTGAATAACATCTCTCTTCCACTGGGCCTCACCTTGGGCTTGCCGTTATTTGAGGCAGCAGGCATGAAGGTGATGCTACATTTCACCACAGATTTTGCTTTAAATATCTATTTTTGCCTTGTTAAGATCCAATTCAAAGGTTGACAAAATCATCTAGCACTGGAGCTGTATTGGTGCTTAGGTTGCAGGCCGCTTTTTTCCCAATTACCCCCCATTAAATGTATTCCCAACTCCCACAATTTGTGACTTGACTTACAGTATATAAAATCAAGATGAAATATGCTAAATAATCCTGGTATATTGTATATAGTAATTGTAATTGTAATCCTATTAATTCTATTTAAAATGTTATACCTTAGAAGTGTATGTTGATTTTTATTATGCCTTACTCTATTCTCTATTCTCTCTTTTCTGACTGATGCACCGAGCCAAAGTCATTTCTTAGTCTGTGACTTCCTGTTAACAAAATATTCTGATTCTGATTATATTTATAAGTATTTGTAAATTCAGATATGACCCTAAATAACTGACCAATCATGTTCCTTGTATCCCTGAATATTGCTTCAACTAGCTTGAAGAGACAAGACTTTATGCTGATTGGCTCTGTGAACAACAAATGTTTGAAAATGTATGCAAATCGAGCCAGTGTACAGCAGAGGGGAAGAAACTGTTCTTACGGCGGAAGGTTCTAGTCCCCTCCTGCCTGAGGGGAGTGGTTGGAATAGTCCATGTGCAGGGTGAGAGGCGTCGGCTGTGATACGACCAGCCCGGCCTCGAGCTCGGGCGACGTACAGGTCCTGCAGCGATGGAAGGCTGCGGCCGATCACTTCCTCTGCAGAGCGCACAATGCGCTGTAGTCTCTGTTTGTCCCTGACTGTGGCTCCAGCGAACCACACGGTGATGGAGGAGGTGAGGATGGACTCGATGATGGCCGTGTAGAACTGCACCAGCATCTGTGCAGGCAGCTTGGCTTTCCTGAGCTGCCACAGGAAGTACATCCTCTGCTGGGCCTTCTTGATTCGGGAGCTGATGGTCGGCTCCCACTTGAGGTCCTGGGTGATGGTGGTGCCCAGGAAACGGAAGGACTCCACAGAGGTGATGGGGGAGTCCATCACGGAGGGTGGGGGCGGGGGGACAGTGCTCTTCCTGAAGTCCACAATCATCTCCACTGTCTTCTGGGCGTTTAGCTCCAGGTTGTTACCACTGCACCAGGACACCAGCCGGTCCACCTCCCTCCTGTAGGCGGACTCATCGTTGTTGGAGATGAGTCCAATGAGGGTGGTGTCGTCCGCGAACTTGATCAGCTTCACGGAGTCGTGGCTGGAGGTGCAGTGTTTGGTGTACAGGGAGAAGAGTAGGGGAGAAAGAACACAGCCCTGTGGGGATCCTGTATTTATAATCCGAGATGCTTTGATCCACTTTTTCCAAGATAGTTCACTCCTTTTCACGGCCCATGTGTACCAGAAGGCAGAAAAAATGTTTTGATGGAACATTGTGTCTAATCAGTGGAGAGATGACACAAGCACAAGTTGGATTTTTATTTCTGAAAAGCCTAATGAGTCTGAAGATTTGTGGCTACATTTATAAGACAGTACAGCTACTCTGGGCCCTAATGCTCACTGTGTACCAGAGATAGAACAGAGCATTCAGCAGCCTCAATAAACTTGGCATAAGGATCATAACGCTCCATCGACTTGTTATGTCCCATTTAATGTGCCCAGCAAATTACAGTTTGTCTGCAATGTGTTTAAGAGCAAAGATCTGGCACTATTAGACACAATGGAGATGTGATGATGAGCCAGACCTGTGCCCATAGTTTATAAGTCTAATAGGACATGCTCTGGACTGATTCATCTGAGCTTCCAGTCCAGACACCTGGGAGGGAAGAGGGGGGAGACAGCAGATTCACTGAGCAGATCAAGGATGATGGAAGGGGGCAAAAACAGAGGATGTGTTGTAGACAGGGAGCCAGCCAGCAGACACTAAAACATTCTGTGACACTGCCCATGGAGTACACTGCACGTATGCTCGGATCCAGAAGAGGGTTAAGTGATAAGAGCTGTCACTGGAGAGGCACCCACTCTTCCTTGAGCTTTTGCTTGCAGTGACAGAGTATGGAGTGGGGCAGGCTGTCGTCAGGCTGGCCCAGAGCAGGAAGTGTGCTGGGGATAAGACGGCCATGTGGCAGGATGTTATGGATTTCTAATTAGAGCAATTCATCTGTCAGCAGGGGCACGCTTTCACTCTGAGCCTGCTCTCACCACTGGGACCCCTTACACTTCACACTCTCAGCTTCACCCCTGCAATACACACACATTCTTCACAGGGCAAACATGAACAAGCCAAAAATCCCAGCAGGCCTCATGTCATTAGAGCGTCAACAACGGAATATACCAGAACAAATCATTCCATCAGCACGGCTCACGTCAAGCCAACGGTCCAACACGGCCTCTGGAGAGTATCCATTATTCGGCAGCATACAACCATATCTAAGATAAGGACGCGCAGCTGCAGCTGGAGTGAACCTACTTGGCCTTGCATGCCTCGCAGCTTGAATATAGTAATCCTAATATGTTAATTACGTATTTCACCTGAAAGCCCTCTAATTCTTTAGTTTATCATTTGAACTGCAATGTTTCTAATTAGACTTTTGACCCCTGTCCACATATGAGGAGCATTGAGTATCTCTGCTCAGTTATAATGAAAAGATCACGTTCCTAAAAGTAGAATCACAAAGACCTTTTAGACTTTTCTGATGTTAAAAGTTCAAGTTAAAATGTTGCTCTCAGGATATTGATAATATAAATATATAAGATAAACTGGACCTTTAACTGTATACATCCACGTCAACCACCTGTTTTATGTCAGTTATATTTACTGAATGCAATTATTATTGGGTCAATGCCACACAATGAAATGATCATTAATCATTGAAATGCTAGAGATTTGAGACCTTGTTGTTTTGTTTGTTTTTAGGTTTGCTCTCCTCAGACTTGGAAGAACCAGAAGATGTCATAATATAGAATTGGTTAATTGAGGAGAAAAACAGCATTGGTGCTGTGGCAGGTACAGGCAGGTGTTCTTTGATTTCCAAAGAACTTCAATGTTGTCTTCCTCTTGTGGCTCATCATGGATTTTGCTCACGCCAGACCAAGTTTGGGCAATGGTTGATTTTCATCCATCATCCAATACCATTTACTGCAGTGTAATACATACATACACTGTACACAATACATGGTTCATCTCAATGGGCTATCCTTAAGAATAAATGTATTAATATCAATAAAATGTCTACATCCAGTAGTAAAACATAGTTCTGTCTTTTACAACCTGCTTTTGTTTTTGAATGAAGGGGATAACATGGATGTTACAGTGATCAGACAGTGGTCCCAGAGGAGGTCCCTGTGTTATTGTGTTACAGTGGAAATCCTTCTGCTCCACTCGATCATGAGCTCATGATAAATAAACAAACACAGAAGAGGTGTGCGATACGCCTGTCATCTGTAAATGGATCTGTGTCCAATGGATTATGTGAACCAATAAAACACAGCATGTACACACCTGTACAAACTGTACAAACTGTTAAATTTAACATTTTATCATCACCTTTCGATTCTATTTTGTACACTGGTATTAAATCTTTCTCTGCATAACAATGGTTTCTTATGGGTCATATTTGAAATACCAAGGTCTTCACGGGCGGCACAGTATAGTTGTCATCGCTTCTCCGAATTTCTTGCTGAAAAGTCCGGGTTTCTTAGTGGAGTTTTCATGGTCACCCTGTGTCTCTAAACACAAGTAGAATAAGTAGAATTGTCTCTAGTATTCCTGACCATGCAGAGTATCAACATGTTATAATGTGGCGACCACTGGTCCTGACCTGCCCCTTGCAAAACCGGTCAAATACAGAGGGACATTTGGCACAGGGAACAGAACTCTGCCCCTTCTGTATAAATGATCCTGTCTCAAACCTGTCATGCTATGATGCCATTCTCAAAACAGTCTCTCCACTTAAAAAAAAAAAAGTCCATCACGGAGGGTGGGGGCGGGGGGACAGTGCTCTTCCTGAAGTCCACAATCATCTCCACTGTCTTCTGGGCGTTTAGCTCCAGGTTGTTACCACTGCACCAGGGCACCAACCGGTCCACCTCCCTCCTGTAGGCGGACTCATCGTTGTTGGAGATGAGTCCAATGAGGGTGGTGTCGTCCGCGAACTTGATCAGCTTCACGGAGTCGTGGCTGGAGGTGCAGTGTTTGGTGTACATCAACATGTTACAATGTGGCGACCACTGGTCCTGACCTGCCCCTTGCAAAACCGGTCAAATACAGAGGGACATTTGGCACAGGGAACAGAACTCTGCCCCTTCTGTATAAATGATCCTGTCTCAAACCTGTCATGCTATGATGCCATTCTCAAAACAGTCTCTCCACTTAAAAAAAAAAAAGGAATCCCCCACATTAACGGCAAATATTTTTTGAATTTTGTTTGTTTTACCCTCGGTACTTGTTGCACCATATATTTCTACTTAGGATATTATTTCATATTCTAAAACATGAAAAGACAAAGTAAAAATTCTAATAATCATTTTAATGGACAAAACAAATGCATAATATTTCTTCTTTAAAATCCTCTATTAGTTAGTTTCAACGTTAAGTCATTGAAAATTGGTTATGATGAGAGAAAACCGTCACAAGTCATTATTTTCTCGATTTATTCTGTTATTTGATGATTGCTTAACATCAAGCTGAAATCCTTACATTAAAAAGCGTGCTGGGCACAAGTAAAGTGGGTGTGCGACAGGTCTGTGTGGAGATGAGCAGAGGCCGGGGCTCTGGGGCTCCACATGGCCAGGAACAGTGCGCTGCAGACAAGGGGGATGTTTACATAGGTGCAGGCTGCCACGAGGAAGTCCACGCTCCAGAATAAACAAGGCCGCCACACAGCCTCACTCCCGACTGTGGGAGAAATGTGCCCTGAGACGCGGCTGTGGCAGTCGTCAAAGCAGGAAAGCAGAAAGAGAAAAAGGCTGAAGCAAAAAGAGAGAAAGAAGCCGAAGACGGGGTCCCACAGTGGAAGAGGAGCAACTGGACGGGTGGTACATGGTCACTTTAAGATCTTATATATACACAGCTGAGTCTGCTCTAAGCCCATTTCCGCTGTCTTCCTTCATCCACACCCCGTCCAGAGAGGATTGGGCCTAATAAAATCTTCTAATTGTTTATTCATTTACTTGCCCGACACGTTTGACCATAAAGTCTAAGACAACAGCACAGATATTTCCTAATTAACACATTGCAACTATAATGCATAACTAATTAGGCTTTCCAACAGTAAAAATGAAGTTACAACAGACACTTTACTACAGAAACCACTCACCCAAAACAACAGTTAAAAAACCAGTCCAGGGAACTGTTCTCAGTGTGGTTGAGTAAAATGCTCAGCTTTGGGTAATGTTATGTCCTCAGTTATGACTAACCATGGCTATTATTGGCAAAAAGTACAAATCCTCTAAAATATTCTTAATTCTTTTAATCTGCTGTTATCAAAAATAATGAAACAAGTACAATTGACATTATTTTTTTTATTACAATAAACATAATAATATAATAAATAATACTTCCTTAATGAAACCAGGGCACAAAGCGTTAGAGTTCAACATTTACAACCAAACAAACATTTTTGCAGTTTTTCCCTCATTTAACACTCTGTCTTGTGTTTAGTGGAGGAATTTAAAATATTCTTAACACGTAATTCTGCCTGAGCTGCGGTTGGTGCTTGGCTTTTAGGGGAAATTCCTTTTAACTTTACCTCACGATATGAATAGAATAGAGGTGTAGAGAATGATGACTTCCTCTCTTTATCAAACACGTTATTTTTTGGGTCATCACAACTCCACAGCCATTACATTTGAATATTAGCAAAAAGTGCTCCTCCAGCTCTCACATAAGATAAGAGAACCTTTATTCATCGTACAGTGGGGAAATATTATAAATGCTTTAGTATTTTTTGAATTATTTTAAATAACTTGACTGTAGTAAAATATAATAATAATAATAATAGATTCATGTGTTTTTATGTTTGCTTCTTGTAGAATCTAGTTTTTAGCAGGATTGCAACATGAGCTTGTGAATCCAGAACACTTTCTATACAATCTGGTTCTGGTTTCCCACAAACGTTTCCCTAATCTTTTTCCTGTGCCGGTATTTATTTGTGTTATTTGAATTTAGTATCCACTGTCTCTTATATTATTTCAAGGCTCCACCTTTTGTCTGTTTCACGTCAAATTTCTGAAAAATAACGTCTTAGCGTTTAAAGGGTTAATAGTTCTGAGCTGCGACAGAGGTTCCGATACAAATGTACTGTAAGAGAAGGTTTAGTTCCAGTAGAAGATAAACTCCAGTATTAGTGAAGCCTGCAGCACCTGGAGCAGACCCCTGTGAGCAGCAGACAGAGGCCAGTGTACCGTGTTTAGTCTGACGGAGGCTTTCACACACTGAGCCGAGCCCCAGGTGACAGATTCAGTGCTCCGAGACCCGATCCAACACAATATTTACTCTGTCTGTGTCAGGAGCACGCAGCTCTGTCACTGTACAGAGTGTTCACGACAGCACTCTGCTGCAGCTCATGCACAGCACATACTGTAAGTCATGCATGCTCCTATCAGATCATTTACAAGGCAGGATTCACAATCAAAATGAATATAAATTTATTGTAATTATAGTATATGATTTATATAAAGCATGCAGGTGGTGTATCAACTGCATTCAGTGGTGAGGATACATTATGGACCTCTAAAGCCAAACAAAGTAGATTAGACTCAAAGGAACGACTTACAAACATTCAAATAGTCAGGTCACAGTCAAACCAGCTCGCAGATTTGGATATAGGGTCATTAAAAAGTTTGATTCCACATCTTATTTATTACTGTCATTGTGTCAAGTGGCGAGCATAGTTTTCTTGGATAAAACTCTTATAGGAAGCAGACAATGATGTATGTGACCTACTCACCCACAATTCCTGTAATTGCATGAGACAGCTCCCCCTCCCTATCATTGCCCCATCAAGTAAAATGAGTAAAATCCACATATAAGATTCAATCATTTATTGTCATTGTCACAAAAACAACGACATTACATTTAGAGCATCACCGTGATAAGCATATAAAGTGCATTAAAGTACAAATAAAGCATTGTTTGTTTCCGAGGTGCCTAATTTTGGGTTGAAAATAGCAGTGGTATGAAAGTACATTTACTGTTTATGGTTGGTTTGATTCTAACAGACAGACAGGAGGATTCCAAAGGCATGAAGCTAAACTGTAAATCATCGGCCCAGGTGACATAAACAAAGTGCACTGCCGCTTTTTCCTTTTTGCTGCTGCTGTTATCATTTTTGTTATAGATGTCAGTATTTTCCACTATAGTCACCCCATATTTCCTGCTCAAAACTGTGGTTTCTGTTGTGGTAAAAAAAAAAACTATGAGAAAAACTATCCAACATTAAAGTCTATTGTGTAACATTTCCTGACTGCGTGTATCAACTCCAGTTCACGTATTATTCATCTTTTGTCTGCATTTTCTATTTCAGGCTGAAGAAAAGTATGTGGACAAACACAGCGGCCTGGTTTTATGGCCTCATCAAAGCTCTCCCTTCGTTCTAATGTAGGACTTGTAAACTTTGATGGAGCAACACAGTACATTGAGGGCAGCTGTAATAACTAATTAGCCAACAATTTAGCTGCCTCAAACTGTAGGGTTTTGTGGTTTCATCCTGCTGCTTCTCATCTAAACGTCCAAAATCACATAATGATCTAGTATTTGTTTGAGAGACCAAATGCAGCACTGATAAACATTGCATTACGAAAGAAGAACTCTGTAGATTGTGTAGTTGAGGCATATACTAGACATGATTTTTTCTCAATTCTTGCGGGGAGATGTTCATACTATAGATATTCTAGTGCTCTCACAGTGACAGTTTCTCAGACATGGTGGGTTGCGTCATCACTTCTGGTGGACTGTGTTGTGGTCGCGCTGCTCCGGTTCACAGAGAGTACACCAAACTGCTTGAGCAACGTTCGACCTCTGCAGCAGGCGAGGAAATCTGCAATGACATAAGCTGTGTTCAAAAGCTATACGAGCAAACGAATCTCTGCAATTAAAGGTTCGGATTTTGTCGAAGAAGAAAATTGAGGTCAGGTCTAGAGTCAATGGGCCTCATTCACGAATAACTTCGTAAGAAACTACTCAACTTTCTTCTCAAGTTGTCCTTAAGTAGATTTCTAAGAAGTCCCCACGTGGGATTCATCAACGCACTCGTAAGCCGCTGAATTGTTCGCAGCTGTTCTCTCAGATTGATGAATCCCATTTCCTCGTAAGTAGAGCGCGCGTGCCAGGTGCTTCATTAGCATAGGTACTTAGCATAAGTAACCGCCCACTAATGCCCATATAAGGGACTGCAGGGCCGTGTGCAGACGGCAGAGGAAACAGCAACAGGCCTTTACACGGAGCAAAAAACCCTTTTTTCTTCTTTTACCAGACTGAGAATAAAGTTATAAAATGTTGACTTAAAAGTCGAAATATTATGATAATAAAGTCGAACTAGCAAAATTATGAGATTAATCTAAGAATATGATGAGATTAATCTCAAAATTTTATGAGCTTAATTTAAAAATATATTATGTATTATTTTAAAGATGAATCTCAAAATGTTTTGAGATTAATCTCAAAATATTTTGGACCCTGGGAGGAGATCCAGCGCGGACCAGCGCTGAGACCAATGCAGACCCGAGGAGAGACTGGAGTGACCAGCACACAGAAACCAGCGCGGACCTATAGGAGAGACCGCATAGACTGTAGTGACCTGACTGGAGAGACCGGTACGCAGAGACCAGCGCGGACCGAAGAGAGACCGCATAGACCAGACTTGAGAGACCAGCGCGGATCCGTATGGAGAGACCAGTGCAGACCCGTATAGATCCATGGGAGAGACCAGTGCAGACCCGTATATGGGAGACACCAGCGCAGACCCAGTAACCTCCTGCAGCAGCAGTATATATGCCGTTGTTCTGTGGCCCGTGGATAAAGAAATGCCCCCTATAAATAGGAAGGGGTCACTAATACACGGCAAGATTTCCAATGTATTTGATAAAGCGTTGGCACATTTCATTTCAAAATGAATTAAAAAGTAGGCCAGATCTGCAGTGAAAAAGGCGGTATATGAATAAAGATTACTAATAAAGATTACTACAAATAAATAAATACATACATCGATATG